ACCACCACACTCATCATCATCACCATCATCACCAGCATCATCATGATCCTCATCATCACCCTCATCCTCAGCCCTATCCCATCCTCATCATCATTATCAGCAGCATCATCATCAGCACCAGTATCATCATCAGCAGCAGCATCATCACCATCATCAACATCATCATCAGCATCATCAGCATCATCATCATAATCATCATCATCATCATCATCATCATCATCATCATCATCATCATCATCATCATCTGCCTCATTCTCCTCCTTTAGGTCCTCCTCCCTCATTACGTGTTATGACCGCTCCCTCCATCCTCCCCGTCATTCACTCCTTGCTTCCCTCTCCCCACCCTCTTCCTCCCTCCACCCATTCATCCATGCATCCATCCATCCCCACTACGAATACGCCCTGAGCCCTCCCCACCTGCGTCATCGTTGCACATATCGATTGTTCATCATTGACAGCACGGTGAAGTTTGGTGCTGACCAGGTCTCAGAGTAAGACCATTGATGTTCGCGCACGGCCGTCTTGCTCCTGGACTGTTGTCGCAGACTCCTGGCAGCCGCGGGTAGATGTGCGTGCCCTCAATGGTAAACCAAGCTTGCGGGTGCGCTTGCGCGCGTCCGTGCGCGCTCTTCGTGCCCCTGTCTGCGGCTACGGCGCCTGTTTGGCTTTTCGCCCAGCATCCACTCTGTCTCCGCACTCCCGCGGGCCTGCGCTAGGATGAAGGGCCACCGCCGTCGCCAGCGACATACTTCGACGCTCGGGTTTGACATGTGCGCTTTCCTCTGGAAGAGTGTGGTTGTGTGCTGGTGTGACTGCTTGTTTGTACGTTTGGCGCGCTCTTCACTGTTCTGCTGCTCGCGTGTCGATGCTGGGCTGACCACTGCCGCTACTTCTCTAATCAATGCGGCTACCCCATGTTCTGGATTCTGGCCCGTGTGGGTGAGAACTCCCGACAGCTGGCAAGCTCGCCCGCCGCGCGCGGGTCTGACACGTACACTCTGCTTGGAGGAAGCTCTGCTTCTGCGATGATGTGCACATCCTGTGTCTGCGTGTCTGTGTGCATGTCTGCTCGTCCGTGTGGCGATGTGCTCGCATGCTCGTAACCTGTGCGCGTCTGCCTTCTCGGACTTCACCTCGGCCCCACCGCACCAGCCGCTGGCCGCAGAACTCCCAGGCGCACGCTGCAGCGGTACACGCAGAGCTGCAGCGAGCTCGCCAAGAGCGGCCCCTCCTCTCGAGCAGTGACCGACCGTCCCAGCATTCCTGCAGTCCTACCCAGAAGATCTCTTAGAACGAAGGAGTATTCTAGTAGCACGAGCAACCTCATCATCACCTACGCCCGACAAATTATAATGCGACGCTATCAGCCGGATGTGCTCTGAGAGCATCTCGCGCAAGCTGCAAAGAAGAAAGGTTCTCGAAACATCCTCCGATTGGGACTGCAGGCCAGTCGGGACGCTTCGCCCCTGCTTGATCCTCCACGCGCAGGGCGACCTTCAGCCCCGGCGGCTCTGGCACGAGCGCCCCCGGCCGGCCGCGCTCGCGCGCGAGGGCGCCCAGCAGCAGCGGCCCACCGCCGAGGCGGCGGGGCGGCGGACAGCCCACCCCGAGCCGCCTCCTCGCGGGCCCCCCGAGCTGGCACGCCCCGCGGAGGCTCCCCCTCGGCCCTCCCGCGGGGGCCCCCAGGGAGACGGTGCGGTGCTGGCCGCGCGGGGCCCTCGGCGCCCTGGGGCGGGCCTGGCCGCACGGTCCCTCGCCGCACGGTCTCCGGGCGGGGGGGGCCTCGGAGGCCCGGGTCCCTGAGATCCCGGCGCTTGCATCCTCTCGAGCTGGGCGCTGTTGCACCAGCTTCGGGCCCCGGGGCCCTCACAGACGGATCCGGCTCGCAAAGTGGCGCAGAAAGATGGGCTCTCGTCGTGGTTGTCTGCGACGTCTCGATTTTTGCTCGCGCCGTCGGACCTCAGGGGTGGCCCGAGGCATCCTCGGAGGACGACCCAGGCCACAAAGACGCGCGGCCGCCCCGAATCCCCCCGCTGGATCACACATCACCGCACCGCTTCGGGGGCCCCCAACTCGCCTTCTCCATCGGGAGAGGCTAAGAGTCCAGACGGACTACGTCCGCATGGACCCAGCCTCCTCCTCTCAGGAGGAGCCAACTCCTGACGGAGCAAGTCCACACGGAAGCCGAGCACTCCGCATGGACTTGCTCCGTACGGACTCGGCCTCCTCCCAGGAGAGGCTCTTGAGCCCAGACGGAACAGGTCCACAGGGAGACCGAGCACTCCGCATGGACTTGCTCCGTCTGGGCTTAATAGCTCATCCTGAAAGAACGCTGAGTCCACACGGTGTAACCTCATGCGGAGTGCTCGGTCTCTGCGTGGACTTGGCCTCCGCTGGCTCCAGAGTCCCGCAGCCGAGGCACGGGAGAAGGGAAAGTTTCCGGCCCCCCTCCCGAGAGGGTGCGGCCGAAGTCCGGGATGGGGGGGGAGGGAGGGAGGGA